AACGCATTTTTTTTGGATGACATTTTGATATATTGGATTTCTCTACAAGAAAAACCTAAACAAAGCTTCTGACGAGATTATAATGGAATCTGTGTAGTTTCGAAAAGATGATATAAAACATACCTTGAGAATGCGTCGACGGTATTAATGTACTTAGCAAACCGATGAATACTAATATGATAGTCCACATTATGATTTCGCTTGTCTAGGTATGAATCTATGTCCTAAAAATACAAATGTACCACATTATTTGTTAATAAAAAAAAGTACAAGTAAATTGTTTGCATTCTAAAATAGATTCAATAATTAAATCATTACATAATGAATGTAGAATATGTTTTGTATTATATTTTATTAACTAGATCATAAAACATGCCCGATTACAAAAACATATCAGTAGAAACAGAGAAAAAAAAACAGAATATTAATTAACAAAAAAAAACAGTAGAAGGAATAAAAAGAAAGAGATTCAAAATTTACGCCAATAATATACCTTTATAAACAAAAAGAATGCAATATATCTTACTCTGTATTTATTGTCGCTTAATAAATCTTCGACATTTCTTGTACTTAAAATATTAATTCCTTCTTGTTTTTATTAATGAACACACATTCTTTTATAAATAAAATAAATTAAAAAATCTCAAAAAGCGATTTGTAATTACAATTTTGCTATTTCAAAAAATATTAAAGAAATATACATATATTAAAGATCCACAAATTATTACATTAAATTTAGTTCAGTTATTACACAAAAAACATATATATATATATAAAACATGAATTTATAAATAAATATTATGTAGATAAAAACATCACGATCTTTTAGACAATTTTTTAAAATAATTCTTTTGAATTGTTGCAAAATATAATTTCGCTTCCACATTTTGGATTAATTAATTAAAACAATAGATAATTAATATATATATATAAATATTATAAAAATATAAGCCACTCTCAACGGCACACATAAAATGTACATTTAAACATCATCAATATTTTATGTAAACGTAAAGAGAATCACACAAAATTTATACACATTTAATTTATGTGTCAGCTAAATAGACTTCTTCGTACTTTTTCTTGCAAACTTAACACATTATTGTCAAGTATAATTTCATAATTACTTATTTACAATAGTAATCCGTAAGAATTCCTTGCATATAAAGAAGAAATGTTGTTCAATTATTTACGCAAATTTTATTTTAAAGTATGACATTCAACGTTCTCCACATAAAAATAAGTGTCCTATTGATGTACTATACGACATGCAGACGTAAAATATGATACATAATTTAGAGTGTTTCTTTGATGATTACAATTTAGCGTACTTACTATGCAAAAATGTATATTTCCATGGGAAATGTAATTCGAAAATTTCACGAAATCAATTATAAAAATATCGGAATTTAACAGTATTTTGTAACGTATAAACGTTAGTAATGTAATGCCAACGTATTAAAAAATAATTAAGGCATCAGGAACTAAATGGATGAAAAACTTTCAAGATATCAATTTATGTAAAGACAAAAAAATGCAAATTATAGGTGAAAAATTAATATTGTGGAATAATATAAATACATACAGTTTTATAATACAAATATATATATATATATAATTTATAAGCTTTTTTATTTATTAAATAATGCAATCAGAATTAATTTATCTGTCTAATTATTAATAATTTATAGATATTTACATTTCTAATATTATTAAATCTCAAACAATATAATTATAAAATATTTTTTCTTTACAAAATTTTTCAGATGCTACATTTTTAGGTAAAACAACATTATAGATTTTGATGTTAAACTTTTAATAATAAACAAACTTATAAAGTTCTTATTAAAACTTATTTGACATTGACTTAAGAAGATTTTGCTATCTATTTTGCGTTTTTAAGTGTGATTTATCAAAATCGTTTTTTATCATCTGTTTCTATTGATATTGCATGTTTCGTAAGAAGATTTTTATTAAGAGATACTAATTGTTTATATGTACTACGTGTTTCTATAATAACATTTGCACATAAATTTTTATGAATAATTATTGCTTGTTACGTAATTATGATCTAGTCATTGTTGTAAAATATTGAAATTTTCGACTGTATTTGAAAGTTATATTTAAATATATGATATACTCGTATGTAAGCTGGGAAATAAGTGTGTGGAGATTTTAATGCCCTATTCCGCGCTGTAATTGATGTGAAAATAAGTTCTGCTTGGATAACTGCTTGAATGGATGCATAAATTAACCATATCGGATGATGTACTAATAATAACAAATTTGGATGCATTAGTGTGCATTAATGCATATAAAATTGTACACTGATTTAATCTGTATAAGTGTAAAATGCAAATATTTCAAAATCCGAATTGTAAAATACAAATTTTACTTAACAGCACAATAAAATATATTGAAAATTTCATGATTAATTTGTTTTTATATTTTTATTAAACATATTTTTATGTTAATTTGTTTACAGTGACAACTTTAATGTGCACCAATGCCTATTGAGTACATCCGAATTCGCTATGAGCTTTGCAATTTTTTTTGCAACCTAGCGTGACAACATTGCTGGAGGATTCCTCGACGATTCCGTTTCATGATTAAAGTTAATTACAAGTTATATATTCTATACCTAGTATTGATAAAATCGCTCTGAATTAAATAAAATTGACGTTATGCCAAGGATACTATCAAATATACAAGGACTATAAAATTGATAAATTATTTAATTTTTCGGAATATGTCGTAAAAAATAAATTATTAACATTATGACTATAATCTCGAAAAATCACATTTAAATTTAAAATGTTCATGTAAAATTTGCTAAGCAAAAAAAATATATATTTCAAATTACATTTTAAAAATAATATATTAAAAATTTTTTAATTTCTTCTAATAAATCCAAAATAAACTATCAAAGCGATTAAAGAATTCTTCAGTAGAAGACTAAAATCAACTAAATAAATAAACGTTACATGACTATCAAATACATATTATATACAGAAATAGGGCATAGTATAACAAGTCTGAATGGATTCCGATTGAAATTATTTCATTTTTTTCTTCTTTTTAAACACAATAGAAATTTTAATTAATAATAATAATTAAATAATTTTTATCGGAATTCATTACAAATAATTCGCATAACACGTACCTTG